GGGGGCATTTCTTAACCCAGCAGATGTAGAACCACATACAGTATTTGACACCAGTCTCTCCCCTTGAAATTAGAAAGGGGAAAAAAAACTGTCGGGAAGCTTGACAGATCTCTTGTTGCTCCTTCTGGCTCTCTAAATGAAGGAGGGAAAGCCTGAAATTTGAAATAGCTACTTCCTATTTATGCAAGTAATTAGAACATCTGGGCCTGAGGGAAAACCTCAGCGATATGTTACTTGGTGGAAAAATTATAATTCCTTGTACTTCACATTGAAGTGAATTTGAAGCCAATTTAATTAAAGACAATGGGACCTCTTCAAGAAGCCTAGCCCTTACACATGCTGTTTTTTGCTCTGCTCTTCACGCTTTTTTCATTATGTGTTACCCTGACTGGTCTCAGGGTAACACTGATGAACTAGATTGACTTTAGATTACTTCATGACTAACTATAATAACCAATGATTGTTTACTTCCAAAGAATCCCACAGCACACTAGCACCATTAATTGAGTTAGGACCATAATCTTCATCTCATTTGCTCCAGAGTAATTCTTTTAACTTCCATGGGTTGAATCCACACTTCGTCAAAGGTTGCCCGATGCAATTGAGCTGGCTCAGAGTAACTTCAGTACCCCACTGATTCCCATGACTAAGTTGGTTTCCAAACCAGCAACTTCAGACCACATGAAGATTTGCAGCCAGTGACGCCTCCTCTTCATGGAAGGGGTCGAAGAACCCGAAACCCTGTCTTAGAGGGGTGTAAGGAGAGGCTGTGTCAATTCCTAACAACAAAAGGAGTTTGCTGTTTTTATTGGCAAAGGGCCAAAGCTTACACATACAGTCTTGCACGTAGAAAGCCGTAGCTTCAGTCTCTACCATCTCTAGGTAGGGATGGGCAAAATGGTGGTGCCTGACACCTTTGAGAACTGCTACCAATCAATATTGACAATATTTTGCTAGATCAGGCCCAATATAAGGCAGCTTGCTGTGTTCCTAAGAGTTGATCTATAGTTGCATCTACATGGACATCCCTCGGTTTTGTCACCTTTGTTGACTACTCCTGTGATGGCTGGCAGTTGGACCCACTCTATGGCTAAGAATCACAGCACAGGCAGCTCTCAATTTAGAAGGACCTTTCAGTCCTGCTCTGCTTATAGCCTTGGTGCTCGTCTATGCTGCTTGGCATGCTTTGGAAACTCTCTGGCTATTAACACTACTGCTTTTCTTCTTGCGGACATCAGGGCATCCGAGTGGGCCTGTGCAGTTAACAGCCACGTGTTTGCAGATATTCATATGATATTTTTGTTTGGCTCCCCACCCAGAGATGGCGAAGGCAACATCAATTCCGCAGGCACTGATGTTAAAACCGAGTAATGAGAGAGAATGAAGTTGCTTAGAATGTAGGTTGCTTTCTCCAAGGTTTTTCCCTCCTCTTCTTCCACCTGACATTTCAGCAACTTCTTGCATCTTTCTTCACCAAGGGGTACCAGTTTTTCAGGACTGTCAATATTGAGACTGTCACAGTGTATTACACATGTCAGTGGACTCAAAGCTGAACTTTGCTCCTCTTTGCTGTTATCACACAGTTCACTTGGCACTTATTCAAATCAGTTTTGCATTCAGTACCTGCAAACCGAAAACAAAACTTTATAAACTGAAAATAAATTTTATAAGTGGAAATCACAATATAACAATAATGCGCATGATTCACACAAAAAAGGACCACTCTGTAATTCTGCATGTGCTCGTATATATTTATGTAAGAGAGAAGATGAGTAAGCTGTCTAATGTGGTATCCCTCAGACATCTTCTTTTTTGAATAAATAAGAACATCTGGGGTGCTGGTGGAAAATAGTAAATGGACATTGCAATTCAGATGCAATGCAAAAATGTCTTACATAAGATAACTTAGGCTAATTCACATCCAAAGAGACCCCTACCAAGGTTCCCATTTCTCTCAGGCATATATTTGTTTGTTTCTAGCCCCTGTTAATACAGGGTACTAGAGATGGGCACGAACCTGGAAAATGGTGGTTCATGATGGTTTGTGGTTAGCCAAACCCCATGACCCACCATGAACCAACTGGAAAAATGAACCAGTTTGCAGTTTGGTTTTTGGTTTGTGCCCAATTTTGGGGGGGTGGGGCGGCTACTTGCTCCTGTCATGCCGCCTCCTCCTCCTCCTCCTCCTCTTTCCTGGGCCATGCACAGAGGCAGTGACTGGGGTCCTTGCAAGGAAGCCAGGGTGCTGCTTCTGAGCGTGTGCCTGCCTCCCATCTGATCTGAGAGAGCAGCTGAATGCCGGGCACATGCACAGGAGCAGCAGGCCTGGCTCCCTCCTATCAGCTGGGCAGCAGATCCATGAACAGATGCATTCACACACACACACACACACACACACACACACACACACACACACACACACACACACACACACACACACACACACACACGGTTCCTGGAAGGGAAGGAGGGCCCACTCTCTTTGAGGATGGCAGTGGCGGCAGCGGAGGAGGAGGTAGTAGCAGGACCAATTAGGGAGGCAGCGGATACAGTTGGAGGGGGAGGGGGAGCATCCATTTTGCCAAAGCAAAATGAAGCGGTGAGGGGGACAAAGGTTTGCCACTTTGTTTTCCTTCAGCAAAACAGGTTGCGAACTGAACTGCAAACCAGCCTGGTTCATCTGTTTTTCTGGTTTGCGGTTTGGTTCGTGCCCATCTCAGCCAGCCACACGAAGTGCCTAGACAGTGGATAGCCATTCAACATCTCCATGCAAGAAGATTATTCTAGAGCAGCTTATAGAATAGGTTCTCATCTGCGAAATCTTATGCCACAGTAAATTAGATGCTGTTACTGGGGCTGTACATCATACATACTGCTGTGGTTGCTGTCTTTCTCTTTAAACTTCTTCCTGTTGTCAAACTACTGGAGCTGAACTTGTATGATTGTACAGCAGTGCCTCGCAAGACAAATGCCTCGCATGACAAAAAAACTTGCAAGACAAATGCATTTTGGCAATGGGGTTGATGACTCACAAGACAAATGTTCCTATGGCTGTCCTTCGCAAGACGAATGTTTTCCGTTTTTTGTTCCTGCCTCATGTTTGCTGATTTTAAAATGTTTTTCTATGATGTTTAAAAAGTTAAAGTTTTTTGACTGAAATTTTTGAAATCATCTGCATAATATGTATGGCTTTAAAGAGCACGTAATAAACCCTTTGTAAACCAAATTTGACTTTGTTCTGACTTCATTTACCCATAGGAACGCATTAATTAGATTTCAATGCATTCCTATGGGAAAACACGTTTCGCAAGATGAATTTTTCGCAAGACAACATTAACCGTGGAACGAATTAAATTCATCTTGCAAGGCACCACTGTACCAAATAATCATTCATAGTGCAATAATCACAAGTTTCTCTTAAAGCAGAAATAGTGCATTCAATGTGTCTGAACGAACCATGATGAAGGTTGTACCACCACTGTGAGGGCTGAGCTTTCTATACTCACTTACCTGGGAGTAAGTCTCACAGAACTCAGGTGAAATCACTTCAGATTAGACTTCTTTGGATTTGTGATATAAATTTGCCAGCCTGATACTACCCCACAGTGGCCAATATCCCAATGCTTAACAAATTGCATTAAAGTAGGCCCATTAAATCAGTGAAGATTTGATAAATCATCTCTTCCATACGTTCATTTGATTCAAATGGGCTTACTCTAACTAAAACTAACTATGTTAAATTAAGTTGAAGATAAGAGTAGGCCCATTTGAATTAGTGGAAATTATGAAGGAGCTGACTAAACAAAACCTCATTGGTTCAATGGGCCTACTCTAGAATGATTTACTTCGCTACACTACAAAATTTTGGTCAGTAAATTCTTAAGGATGATCTGGTGGCTGATTTATAGAGATAATAAGCTGATTTGAAAGACACAGTGTTAGTAATTAAGTATGTCACACATAAGCACAATATACTATATTAATGCAGATGGAACGTGTGTAATACCCACTATTTGTGGTGAGTTACTATCACCAATCAAGAACAATCACCCATTTTTGGAAAAAAAAGTTATTTGCAACATATTATTAGCCAGGAATAAAAGGTGGTGCAGCTCTGGATAGACAACGTTATGTGAGGCATTGATTTCTATTGTTTATATGTAATCATTACTCAGTCTCATAACCAGACACAGAGTGAACTGCCATAGCATGTATGTGAAAGTATTTTGAAGTGAATACCTTGGGGACAGGGGGAATGGCTGAGTTAGATTATCATCATCAAGAAAACATAACAAATTAGAGAAGGACACTTAGATCTCTTCCACTGAAATCCATAAGGTTTCATGGCAATTACCTTCGGGTGGTCTGTGTTGCTGGTATAGGGATTTTATTATTATGAAACATGCATTCTTTCCTAACAAAGTTTGTACTAAATCGCCAACTTGGGGTTGGGTGGGGATGAAATATGTGTTGTGGACACGATTCCTCAGTAAACAATGGGGAAAGGTACCAGCCATATTAGTTAGTGATGTGAAGAAAGTTACTCCTTGTCATTAATACTTATCCTAATGTGTCTAGATATTGTCACCTGTATTTATTAAAGAATAGCATCTCTAAATTAAGGTAAAACACACAGAGAGAGAGAGAGAGAGAGAGAGAGGCACAATAGTCCTACTGCCTGAAATGCTAATTTGCCTGTTGGGTGGATGTTATATAAGTGGTAGCTCCACTCTCTTAGCCAGTATGCTTGAAGAGTTCATTAGTCTCCCTATGAGGTGCAAAAGAGGGAAAGGAAGCTGGTGTGGAGTTATTCATTGTCTTATGACTCAATTCTAATCACTTCAGTCAGTGTGACTGACAGAGAAATGCTTTCCACTGTGATTGAGAGTATTGATTCCTCAGCCCCTTTTGGGGCACATTGGAGAGACACAATCAGAGCCTTCACGTTCAAAAAACCTCTTCATCTGCCTTAATCATCTGATCGATAATCAGCATCAGGACTGGGGATCTTCAACAAAGCTTTCTCCAATGTCTTTATTTTCTTCCCTCTATTTGGCTGAAATTCTGCTGAGTCAAGGTGATCGTGAGAGATCAGAAAAATGAACAGGAAGCGGCAACGTTGACCATCTTGAGTGATTTCTCTCTCTTCTTTTCTCCCTCCACCCCCATCTTTTCCTCTTTTCTCTTTCTTTTCTTTCATGGACCATTGGTTTACCAAGCTATCGTCTTCATAGTATGGCTAGAAATAAACAGAGACAACTAGTGAGTGACATCTTTTCTCTGAGCCACCCAGCTGGAACTGGAAGGGAACAGAAACAAAACCACCTCTACAATGAGGTAGTTCATGAGTAACGTCTTGGACAATGGTGTTTAGCTGAAGCTAAGCCTGAACGGCGTTTGTATGTGAGACAATGACTAACTGTGTAGTCCTGTCGTCTTGCCTGAAGGTAAACTCTTTAGCAGAGAATTCTATATATATTTTACTTCCCTCCTCTTTTTCCCCTCTCCCCCGCTCAGCATCAGACTTGTCAGGCAACAAACAAAACTTAGCATTTCGTCTCGCAGTTTGGTTTATAATCGGGTCGTTCTGTATGAATCAAAATTTTACTTCCTAAAATATGACAGCTTTACACATTGGGCAATTCTAATTCCTTGAGTTATGCCACAATTGAAATGGTACCTTTTCTGTTGCTTGATGAGAACGATTCAAAGGGGTAAACTGTGGGTTATTCCAAGTCTATACATCTTCACTGGGGGAGGAAAAAAAAGTAACATTTATCAAAAGCTATCTGCATTGCCTAAATGCGAAACATTTCCCAATTAAAATTTCATCCCTGTTTAACCCATTTCTTCAACGGAATTACCAAACAGAGAAGACGCCGAAGAAGAAGAAGCATAAAACACACACATAATCTAATGTATCCTCTGTGAAGAGGAAACCTTTATTCTGCCGATTTTCAGAAAAGCCTCATCCAATATAATCACGCCATTCATTCCCATTTTAAGAGCAAAGTTGTCCAGGCCTCTTCTCTGTTAGGCGGTGTCAAGCAGCCCAGTGCATAGCACTAATTCCTCAAGAGAAAGAGGCAGCGGTTTCCCACAGCAGCTCCTTGATTTAAATTACAGAGCACATTTATTATGCTTCTGTTCCTCTGACTGTGAAATACCAGAGTACAGTAGCTTTGTTCTGACCCCTTTTCCAAAGCCTCGGCTCAAAGTGTGACTAATCTAGTGCCGGATGACAGCTAACTTCAACATCAGACAACACGAAAATTGAAGATACTTTTTATCCTCTTGCCAATCTGCGAGGGCCTGAATAAGGCTCGTCAACTTCATTACAAACTCATCATCTCTTGTGTAGATAATGATAGCCTAGGCCGGCGGAGAACTCAGCTTCTTGTTGTTTTTACTGACTCTTTCTGCCTTCGGGCCAAGCATCTGTGGGGATAATGAATGGAGCAATTCTTTGGGCACCAAACAAAAGGCTCTCAGGGTGGGGAAAGGCCCATGGCGTCAGTCTAGGCCCAGGCCCTGGCGAGCGCAAATCCTTTGTTATGAATTGGTTCTCAGAAAATGGCTCTGTAGTAAGCAGAGAAAAAGGACACAGAGTAACTTTGTACTGTGTGGCGGGGAAGCCTAAAGGCAGCATAGCCATCCCGGGGAATGGGTATTTTCAGAAGGCCTTTCAGTAGCCTGTTTGAGGTTGCTTTTTTTGTCTGGCTGCCTCGGCATTGAGAGAAGAGGGAGACATGATGTAAATACAAGAGGCGATTTCGTGTGCTCTCGCACACTTATTAACCATCTGGTTTAAGCAACAAGACTCAAAGCAGTTTGTTCAGCATTCAGGTATAACCATCACTCTCTCTCTCTCTCTCTCTCTCATTCTCTCTCGCCTCCCACCCCCTACCCCTCCGCCTTGGCGGTTGAATAGTTATTTTGTTGCTAATCCATCGGATAAGCGGTGGGACCAAACCATATTTGTGTAAGGCCTGTGATTCTAATTTAAAAGGGATTTAAAAGGAGATAATTAGAAATTTTTCAAGAATCGTCCTTCTTTCCCCCCCCCTTTTTTTTTTAAAAGCTCACATTCATTTAAAAATAAAAAGGAAGGAATTGTTAGGAAGGTTTTATATTGTGTGTTTCGAATGTACAGAGCTATAGCAATGAAAGTGTTAGGGCATTAAAGAAGGCAAATCCACTTTAGAAATTCAAAACAGTTTCATCAGGGACTCGTAAGAGAAACGAACAACTTGCTTGCACAGAGTGCTAAAATAATAAAAAGCTTTAATCTTCCTCCTCCTCCTTTGTGGTTATTTTTTTTCCTGCTTGCAAATATATGATTGCTGCATCAATATATACAGATCTGGAGACCTTCTGGTGGGCAGGAATGACAGAGACATCAGCCTAGCTACAGGTAATATCTAAGACACATCTTGGGAACTGACCTGTCAGTTGAACCATAATGGGATCCACTAACGCTACGAGTTATAGCAAGAGATGGCAGGGCCCTCCTGATGTTCTGGATAACAACTCCCATCAACCCTCTCCACTGGCTATGCTGGCAAAGGCCATTGGGAGTTGTAGTCCCATAATGTCTGGAGGCCCACCTGTTCCCTTGCTCTGTCTTATGGTAACTTTCAGTGATCCAAGTTTCAAATGCCAAAAGAAACAAGTCTTTTTAATAAACTTTTCTTAAATAAAGCTGTATTGCATTTTTTCTCTCTGTTCAGCTCTCTACTACGTTTCTGCAAAGGTTTTTTCTTTTACTGGGCCAAATCCTTTTGTTTACCATAAACAGATCTTTCCATTTCTCCTGGTGTTGATAGACGTTTGTGTATGCTTGATAAGACAAACGGGGAAGGCATTCTGATGAAACCTACCAGATGTAGTACAAATGCAAAAATAGACGATACCTTTACAGACCACTAAAAATACATACTATACATGAGCTTTCATGGATTAAAAAAAACACTCCATCAGGTGTATACCAGTGTGAAGAACTTTAAGTCCAAAGGTTTATGGCAAAATGGATTTTGCCAGGAAAGTTGCTCTTAGCAAAGGTTTGACCTCACTAGGCACGTCTCTCTTAGATGTAAGTCAGCGAATAATATGGTGGTTGTTTTATGGTTACAGCTGAGGCAGCTGTGGATTGAGGGTGGCCACCAGTGCTTCAAATAAAGAAGCAATGGCCATACACACAGAGAGAGAGAGAGACACCTCCCCATTTGGCCTTTTTTTGAAATGGACGTGATTCTGCTTGACTCACACAGAAAACCTGAGTCCTCCATCCTCTAGTCACTAGTGCATAGGTATTAGCATAAGGTATTAGTATATGGTAATATCTGTGCACTAGAGGATTGTGGGAGGAACAATTAGCCCCTGATGGGGGTCCCACAGGGCACCCCAAAACACTGAGGAGCTCTCTTGGCCTCTGGCAGGACTGGGGCTGTGCAGCCCTGTACTGAGTGGGAGGTGCAGCCAGGGGGTCACCATAATGTGGGGGGTCAGGGGACAGAAGGGGGTAGGAGATGCAAGGGCCATTCCAATTCATACCTTGTAAAGGAAATACCATGTGGTAAAAATGTTTTTCCCAGGGAGAGGCACTTTGTGTATGCTGTTGGCCCCTGTGATTTTCCCAAATGTGGGAAGTTCAACTACATAAAGGTAAAGGTAAAGGTTCCCCTTGACAATTTTTTGTCCAGTCGTGTCCGACTCTAGGGGGCGGCGCTCATCCTGCTCTTCAAGCCATAGAGCCAGCGTTTTTGTCCAAAGACAATCTTTCCGTGGTCACATGGCCAGTGTGATTTAGACACGGAACGCTGTTTACCTTCCCACCGAGGTGGTCCCTATTTATCTACTCGCATTTGCATGCTTTCGAACCGCGTTAATTGGGGCATTATGTTTGTGATTTCTCTGGGTTTTTTTTTAAATTTCTTTATCCTTTGGTTCTTGGCTGTTTTCAGCATTCTCTATCATTTAAATTTGCAGCCATAGTCTCATTGGTGATGCTTTGCAAGATGGTTCCCCCCCCATTAAAACACATTAATTACATAAGACCTATTTTTTTTATCCCAAAAAAGTTTATCCTGGCTTTCCAGGAAAAACAGCAGCATACACTTTCTCCCCCACTTTTTTGGGATAAAAAAGTAGGTCTTATGCAATTAATGTGTTCCAATTGGAGAGAAAAACGTTTTGAGGAACAGGGTCAAAAACTCAATTGTCTAGGGAGGCACCACTGTATTCCCTTAGGCATGTAAAAAATTATTTTTAATCAATTCAGATCTTTGCACTACTTGAATTTGCTCCTGGTTTTACTTTCCTTTTATCATGCGTTGCCTTATTTTTGCTGCAGGTTTTATCTGGTTTTTATTACATGTCGCATTGTTTTTACTCTTGATTTTATTATATGTTGTTTTTAACATTGGCTATTCTTTCTGCTTTGTGTTTTAACTTTACCTGTACACTGCCCCGACAGCTTGGTTATTCAATGGCCTAAAAGTGCAGTAGTATAAAAACTTTAGGAAATGTATTCATAAATTAGCAAAGTGACATTGTCACCTTCTCTCCACCATCACATTTATTCTATTTCTATGTTGGTCAAAGTTTCATCATTCTATTGGGATTTGATAAAGTTGGTATGAGGAAATTGGTGTGACTTAAATTAAAATTTAAAGAACAAACTCTCCTCTTTTTACACAGTAGATAAAATTGTTCAGTCAGGAACCTACAGAGCAGTTTGAGCTAGATGTCTCCCTCAGTAGACCGCCCCTTATTTCTTAGTTTACTTCAACTGGCACTTACTATCTCAATACTTTCACTCAGAGACTCTGGTAATGAAAAAGAATAACATATTTCCATTTATGCACAGTCCTTATATGTAGAAACAAACATATTGTGTGGGAAAATGTTAATTTGTTACATCTTTGAGCTTAACTGATTGATTTGCATCATTACTAACTAACTGACTGGTCTCATAGCTGATAGAGCACTTCACTCTGTCTTCAGACTTCATAACTAACACTGAAAGAACACAAACTGAACCCTGACTGACAGAACCCATCTGACTAGAAAAAGGCGGGAAAAATATCTTACATAGAAAGGGACTGTGTTAGTTGGACTGTGTTACTTGGCCTGCGGTGTAGTTGTTTGTATTTTTAGTGGGGGACTTTTAGTGGGTGGGGAGTGTTTGGGAATTTTATGTGTGTGCATGTGTCTGGTCTCTGGGTGTCTGTGAATTTCGTTGTATGTGTATATACTTACAATGACAATAAATTATTATTATTATTATATACTAAACACGCAAAACCGATGTTATATAACCAATTATAAAACAAAACCTAGCAAGGCAACTTTGTCATCAAAGCCTCTGTGCAGTTCACCAGAGTTCGGCCCTTCTGGGCCTCCTGCCCGCTCTTCCAGGTACACAAACCAGCCCGGTTCACCAGAGTTCAGTTTCCACAAGGGGAGGATCCTGCCTGATTAACGGGGACTGGGGGATGGGAGGAAAGATAAATCTAGATAAATCAAGGGTCAACCCAGTGTGTGTGTATCTTTCTTCTTATTTGAGTGCACAGTCTCTCAAAGGCATCATATGAGATGCAATATATCTAATAACCTTTTGGGTTTTTTTAAGCTGGCAAGCTTTACTTTTTACCTCTACTCCTTTGGTCCTGTTACTAGGATACCTCAAAGAACATGTGCCTGGACCTATAGCAAGTGTAACTTATGGAATGAGGGAGGCAGCCCCCTGTCCGAACCACAGGCTTCCTGGGATCTATAGGCAGCTCACAATGGCAACATATCCCTCCTTTTTTTCTCCTCAAAACAGAATGTTGATATTTGCACACCCACTTCTCTACCCAAGCAGAATATGTGAATGTTGTGGATGATGACGATAATGACGATGATGATCATCATCTTAGTTGTTTTATCTGTTTTCTGCTACTTTCAGCTTATTTATTTTATTTTATTTATCTGTTTATTCAACTTATATGCCGCCCACTCTACCCAAAGGTCTCTGGGCGGCTCACAATTAAAAAACAATTAAAATACAATAAAAGATAAATCAATTAAAGCACAATTAAAATACAATCTAAAAATTGCCATCAGGACCCACAGTTGATGGTATTTCAATTAAAAGCCTTCTGGAACAGGAAGGTTTTGACCTGGCACCGAAATGTTATCACCGTCGGCGCCAGACGAATTTCAGTCGGGAAGGCGTTCCATACTCTGGGGGCAGCTGCCAAGAAGGTCCTTTGTCTACAAGCCGTCCCTCTTACCTCCTTAAGGGACGGCTCTTTCAAAAAGGCCCCCTGGCTAGATCTTAACTGCCAGGTAGGCTCATATGGAAGGAGGCGGTCCTTCAGGTATCCAGGGTCTAAGCCGTTTAGGGCTTTATATGTCAAAACAAGCACTATGAATTGGGCCTGGGCAGCAACTGGTAACCAATGTAACTTAAACAGAATTGGCTTGATGTGTTCTCTAGCAGCCCCACCACTCACCAGCCGCGCAGCTCGATTCTGGACCAGTTGCAGTCACCGGACCGTCTTCAAAGGCAGCCCCACGTAGAGCGCATTGCAGTAGTCTATGCGAGATGTTACCATGTTACTTATGGTTGGCACAATATGACAGCTGACTGAATGCGATC